ATCCCTATGGAGAGAGGGCCACGCCACACAAACGATGCTTATAATCTTGCCAGTTCTCTTCCCAGGGGACAACTGGCAGGGACTGAACTGCCGCAGTCACTAAAATCACCCCCGACAAAGCACACGTGAACGTATGATTAGGTAGCACTTTGTCATTGGCACCTGGGAACGGATGATTTGCCTGATGTAGCTCTTATATCTCCCCGATGTGATTTATATCACACCAGCTAATGATGGGAAATAGCAATGAGTATACGTTACTTTGTTTAAGCTACGTTATTATATTTTAAATATACCACGTTAGAGGAAAAAAAATGTGTTGTTTTTTTCTTTTTCTGTTGCTTAGCTGAACGTTTCTTCCTCTGGCTGAATGGTCATTTTGAGGAGAAGAATGAGCAATGGACAGAACATTGGTGATGTCCTCCACCTGTCTCTGACCTGGATTTTTATAAAGATGCTGGGGACTGGGCCCCATGATCCGTAAAATGATGTGTGTAGCGTTTTGCTGGCGGAGGATTTGCTGTTGCCTTGAGATTTAATCATTTTGGAGAATGTTCCCTTAATTGGCAGCAGAAGGTTTGCAGCGACAGAGGTTGCGGGGAAGCTTTTGGATTATTAAAAGTTCAGCCTAATCATGAGTTGAGACCTTGATCCCCCTCCTTTCTATTATTACTGTGCATCCGAAGCCACGAAATCTTACCTAATGAAAAATCATCATTATTGCATTGGGCTTCCCAGTGCTTGCATGGTGCCCAGAGGGCTTCACAAATCCCACCTTTCTGCTTCCTGACAAAGTGGTCAGAGACAACAAGAGCTGCCCCAGGGTCCTGGCCCCATGGCAGTGCCTTCTCTCCTGCTTTTCCCTTTTAGGCTTGTCTTCTGACCAGAGAGCTCCTGTCATGATTCTGCCTCTCTTCCATGTCTGTCAGCTCCCCAAAGTTAAAAAACAAAATGTCTTGGCCTGCTTCGGTTGGGAACGAGGCGTTTTCTAAATAAGGAAGTCTGTATGCCTAATACCCCTGCTCTGCTGCTCTGAAGCAGCTCAGGGTCACCCGGCATGGGGGTGGGGCCCTCAGCTCCAAACCCCAGAGGGCCAGAGGTTTCTAGGCCCTCCCCAAAGGATCAAGGCTTCCTCCTCATCATTTTACACACAGCAACCCTGTGCACAGCCCTCCCCTTCTGACTTGCTGTTTTAAAAACAGTCTCTCAAGCAAATGCTGGACAAAGACATCTCCACTTCCCCATTCTTCAGCAAGCCACCGACTGTGTGCCCAGAGCTGTTGCTCAACGAGAGGCAACCACGTAATGAGGACTTCTACAGCCTTGCTGTGGCAGAATAATCTCTCTGGTCTTTGTCCGGGGGTTCCTGGCATGGGGCTGCCAAAAGCCTTGCAATGTCCTGAGTGGCAGGAATATCTTTGTTATGTTCATGAGGTGACTCCTGGTGGGTCCCTGCCGAGCTTCAGGATGGAGGCTGGTCACCAGAAAGATGAACTGTGTGTTCAGACGGTAGGGGGAAATCTCTGGATACCAGGGCTGGGTGAAACTTCATGTTCATGAACATAATGGTGTCCGAGAGTGATGTTCTCTGACACCACAGAGAGAGGGATCCTCCCTGCAAGACCTCGAACCACGTGTATACCTTACAAAACCTCGGTAATCGTTGGTACAGGGCTCTCATAGTTCATTCTGGCAAATTATGGAACCCGAGGGGGTGCCATGGGAACCTCCCAGATTGCTAGCCAAAGAAAGGGTCCTAAGTGCATGTGGCCTGGGGTTCCCACTTCAGGCTGGTGTCCGAGGTGGAGGCAGTCTTGTGGGACTGAGTCCCTAACTGGTGGGGACCGTGCTAACTCCAGAGCTTAGTGTCAGAATGGTATTGCAGTGTGCTCATCTGGAGTAAGGGCAGAATAACCGGCATTAAGGGTGATTTTCTGATTTCCTAATAGAAATGTTGCAATACTGGAAATAGCATCTAGATCCTCAGCTTGGGCAGCACAGTTTGAAGCACAGGCTCCCTAGAAAACAGGTTTAGAGAGATCATGTGGTAGACGCTACTCAAAGTGTGGTCCCCAGACTGCGTGTGCACATCTGCAAACTGTCCGTTACCAGCTCCTGATGAGATGTGTACAAAACCTGACAGTAAGCATTTAGAGTCTTTTACGGCAATTGGGCATTGCCAAGACATGCAGGAGTGGAAATATAAGAGCATCAGATTGTGACAGTTTGGAGAAAAAAAGCGATCCTTCACCAGAGAGAGCTTAAAAAGCCTTCTTTAGAAGATATAGCTTCAGTCTGTATGATCAAATGGAGTCAGAACTTACTGTTAAACGTGTGAGCCCTGGAGTCACGCAGATGGGTTTTGTATGCAGTCGCTGCTGCTTGCTATCTCCCCGGCTTTGGGCAAGTTACTTAACCCCTCCGGGCTTTAGTTTCCTCATTTATAAAGTGTATTTCCTACCTTATGAGGTGCTGGGAAGACCAGATGAGCTAATCCGGGGGAAAGAGTAAGCCTAGGGTCTGGCACATAGGTTAACCATTAGTATTGTTTCTTCTGTGTTAATTTATTGGCATCAACGTTCCCAGCTTGGTGAAAGCATGTTCTGTACGCGTGTGTTTGAATTATGACCGTAAATGAAACCTGCAGCCTTGCCTTTAGGTGAATACAAGGTAAAGCAAACACGTTTTTAAAAGCCACAACCCCTCCATTGAAATGAATATTGCTTTTCATATAATCTCTGAGAGGCTGGGCTCTCCTTTCAAGGATGCCATGATGTTGGAAGCGTTTGGGGCACTTCTCATTTCACATTTCTGTTAGCACCGGCCCCCGTGATCTATTCTGAGGTAACAAAGTCCTCAAAACCTGTGTGGCTTATTCCCACAACCTGTCATCATCACTGTGGCGGTAGGTAGACTGGGCTTTGGCTGGGTTCTCACTTGGGGTCGTCCATACAGTTGCAGTGAGAGGTTGGCCAGGGATGGATCATCTGAAAGCTCAACTTGACTGGACGCGCCGCAACGTGTCTTCGCTGTTCATGTTTGATGCTGGGGCTGGGACAGCCGGAAGAGCTTGGGGTTGGTGGGGCATCTTGCAGTCCATGCGGCCTTTCTACATGGCTAGCTTGGGTTTCCTGACTGCAGGGTGGACTGAGGTTAGAGAGACAGCCTTGTTGGTGGCTAGCTTCCTCCGGATGAGCGTTTTAAGAAGTAGAAAATGGAAGCAGGGAGTGGAAACGGATCAGAGCAGTTACAGAACCCTCCTCTGAATGCAAGGACAGGATTAGACCCCACCTCTCAATGGGAAGGGGGTCAATGAATCTGTGTCCATATTTAGTCGGCTACAGAGCCACAAAGAAAACGTGGTTTTCTTACATTGGCATATCATTTTTTACCACCAAAGACAGAGGACAGCTTCCACAGTAACTGCGTTTATGTAGGTATCAGTCATTTTGATATGAGTTATCTAAGTAAAAACCCAGCCATTGCATTATGGCCCCACCTCACATGCCTTTGAGTTTTAGTCACATCGATCAGCCTATGCTAGGGAGGGAAGTCCCCCTCTGAGTTCTTCATACTCTACTTTCTGAGTGTCTGATTTCTACCAATGACCCCCTCGAGCCCTGTATTGCCTCCTTACACCTCTCCTCCCTGTCCCCCCTACCTGCTATAGAGAAATCTGAAAGCAACCAGCATGGTACCCTCGCTCAGAGAACTTCACTTCTCCCCATTTCTCACAGAGCCTGTGGCTCAAACATCCAAATACACCCTCCGGGTCCCCCATGGCTGGATGGGAGTCACTTTCCAGTTCAGTTTTCCCTACTTCTTCCAACCCCATCACCCAAACACACAACCCCCACCCCCAACACGCACACGCAGGCTCACGCCATTCGTTCAGCCAATATGTATTCAGTGTCTGCCTGTGTTGGGCACTGTGCTCATTGGTAGGCTCCAGAAAGCTCCAGTATTATTACACGTGCCTTGTATTTTTCCCTTTTGGGGGCTTTGCTTACATTCCCGAACATTAAGGGCGTTTCTTGTTACTGTTTTATTAGTACCAGGCACTGTACCTACACAGCAATGTAGCAGTAAACAGGGGCTCGAGTACTGTGTGAAGGAGAGGTTCCTTCTCCCTTACCTTTTATCTTGTCCATTTCATCTCTGCCTTCTTCATCACCCTTTCTCTGTTGGAGGCTCATCTAGAATCAGGCAGCTTTTCCTTCATCTCCTCCCGTGTTTGACATGTGAACATACTACCTTCCTGTTCCATGAGAGACTCATGATGGGGGTGAAGTCGGAGGCTACTTATTTCAGTGTATTTTTGAAGTCCACAGATACCCTGGCATCACATTCGCCCACAGTGGCTAACTGCAGACCTGGCTGAAGCATTGGTTATTCAGGACCCTAGCGGACTTCTGGTATATTTCAGGCAGCCCCCAGGACCTGGGGGAGACCAGGAAGAATCTGACACGGTTGTCACCCATTAAAAGCACACAGTACTACAGCTGTACAATATAGGAGCCTTTGTTGTCTGATAAAGCAGGGAAGAGAGGGCGGACGGACTCTGCTTCTTAACTCAGCTGCTTTGCTTTTCCAATGGAATTCTGTAAACCCAGTTTCAGGGAGAGGCTTTTGGGATGGGCCCCAATTCAGTAGCTGTCAGGGTGGGGGAAGTGGTTATACCTGCAGAGGTTTTCCATATATACAGCCACTCCTCCAGCTGTCTCCCAAGACTCTAGGCAGGACCTCTTGTCTGGCACGGATCCAGTGGAGGAAAGTGGGGTGGGGCTGGGGGGATATGATGCTTAAATTTAGTCAAACTTCCCAAATGAACCTGGTTTCTGATGCCCCTTCTAACCCTCCCCTGCAGAAACACTGCTCAAGCCAGATTGTCCCCAGGGACCTCTGAGCAGGTGTCTTCCGGTGGCTAACTGCAGACCTGGCTGTTTTTCAGGTTCATTCGGCCTCCTACCGACACAAGGTGCTGACCCCAGAGACCTGCCATGAAACCACACTTGAAGCAATGGAGACAACGAATGCTTTGCGGGATCTTCGCCTGGGGGCTCCTCTTCGTGGTGATTTTCATTTACTTCACCGACAGCAACCCAGCTGAGCCTGCGCCCAGCTCCTTCTCCTTCCTGGAGACCAGGAGGCTCCTGCCCATGCAGGGGAAGCAGAGAGCCATCATGGGTGCCATGCAGGAGCCCTCCTTGCCTGAGAGCGTGGGTGCGAACAAGCGGCTGCTGGGCGGACGCCCGTCTGTCCCCTTCCGCGCTGGTCCAGGCGACCTGCCGCAATGGACCCAGGTGCAGGCTGGGTTTGAAAATGACGAAGAGTTCTTTTCATCCCAGATCGGGAGAAAATCGCAAAGGGCTTTCTACCCGGAGGACGACGACTACTTCTTTGCCGCCGGGCAGCCAGGGTTGCACAGCCACACTCTGGGCACGCCGGGGGCCCTCTCCCCCGGGGACCCAGGCCGGCGGGAGGGGGCTGCACCGGCTCGCCTGGCTCAGAGAAGGCGGTCGAGGAAGCGGCAGCGGAAACCCGGCGGGAGCCCGGCGCTGGAGGACGGCGACGACGGGGACAGGCTATACTCGTCCATGTCCAGGGCCTTCCTCCACCGGCTCTGGAAGGGAAACGTCTCGTCCAAGATGCTCAACCCGCGGCTGCAGAAGGCCATGCAGGACTACCTGAGCGCCAACAAGCACGGCGTGCGCTTCCGCGGGCGGCGGGCGGCCGGGCTGAGCCGCGCGGAGCTGCTGTGTGCGCTGCGGAGCCGGGTGCGGGTGCGCACGCTGGACGGCAAGGAGGCGCCCTTCTCCGCGCTCGGTTGGCAGAAGCTGGTCCCCGCCGTGCCGCTGAGCCAGCTGCACCCGCGCGGCCTGCGGAGCTGCGCCGTGGTCATGTCTGCCGGCGCCATCCTCAACTCCTCCCTGGGCGAGGAGATAGGTGGGTCCCGCACGGTCGCCCACGGTGCGCACTCGGCCTTGTTCTTTGCGTCTGGCTGGCTGGGCAGCACGGGGGTTCTGCGCTGGATGTCTCTGACGCCAGCCGGAGAGTCTCCCGTGCTTCTCCCTCACTGGCGCAGAACGAGCCTGTTGGAGGTAGCAGCAAAGGTCTTTTTGGGGGTCGATTTGAAAGCGGTGGTGTTGCCCCTCTCCTGGCTGGCAGGGGAGTGGAAGGTCTGTGTCCTGCCCCTGGCAGCCGCTCCGAGTTCTTCTCCCAAAGAGACTGTGTTCTACGTGGCCAGGCTCCTGGCCTAGCCCGCAGAGACCTGATGAACCCCTAAGTTGTAGGCTCATGGGAGAGGAGCAAGAGGACCAGAAAAGAAAGCAGAACTGTCTGCAGGGCAGCGACAGTTAGAGAGGGCGCAACTGCAAAGAGAAGTATGCATGGTGGTAATTTTAGTTAGCCCAGGGACTAAATGGATGTTGTGGCTCAGAGAAGAGCCCTTCCTGTCCGCACAATGAGCTCTGACCTCACGCCAGCTGGTGCATGTCCAACCTTTGAGTCGTGGCCAGGACACCCATCAGGGACCTTCTCCAAGATGGTAAATAACATGACCACACCTTGGGTATCCATCTTTCCTTCTGAACTCTGCCTTCAGAGCCCTGTCAAGAGCCCAGGAGCACATCTGGGTCATAGTTCCTGTATTAGGCCTGTCCAGAGAAACAGATTGATGTAGAGAGAGAGGAGATTTTTTTAAGGACTTGCTCCTGCAGTTGTGGGGATGGACAAGTCTGAAATTTGTAGGGCAGGTGAGTAGGCTGGAAGTTTGGATAAGAGTTGAGATTGCTGTCTGGAGGCTGGAGTCTGCAGGGCAGGCAAGCAGGTGGGAAGCTGAGGCAGGGTTTCTCTTTTGCATCTGGAGGCAGAATTCCTTCTTTCTCAGCAAACTTCAGGCTTAGCTGTAAAGCCTTAGCCTTCCCTCTGTGCCCATGCTCATTCCATTGCCACACGGGCAAACAAGCAGTTTGAGTCTATAGAATCACTCATTCATTTAGTAAACATGTGTTTAGTCCTTACTATGTTCAGACTTCTGTACTAGGTTCCAAGAAGAAAATGTGAATCGGACACAGCCTTGGCCTGAAGTCAAGTTGTAAAACAACTGTGTCTAATACATTCTCACAGTAGACAGTGTTGTAGCTCATAGCTAATCTGGAAGTTTCAGTCAAGGGGCTTTTGCTCACTTGGTAGAAAGGAATAACCTTGTTTCTTGGGTCTGTCAGTGTTCTGTATTCCTGAGGAGGGGCTGACATGCCAGAGCTGCCTTGAAATGGGGCGATGCCGTTGTAATTGGGTCCCACCACCCAGACCTCCTATCAGACATTCTTGGGAATGGAGCTGAATGTGAATTTTTAAAAAGCTGAAAAAAGTAAGCACGAGCACGGGCTTGAGGTGTAGGGTCCCAGTGTCCCAGTGCTGACATTACAGCAGGCTCATAATAACACTGTCCACGTGTCATATGCAGCCAAAGCCGGAGCAGAGTAGTCTGCAATTGATTATGGAAGAACAGTGGTTTAAAGCTCCCTGGGGTGAAGTTCCTTCTCATTCCCGAGGACCATTATTAATAATGTAAGAAGGAATTTAAGTATTATGCTTTAAAGCAGGCAGTAACTTGCTTCCGGTTTTGTTTTGCTTTATTTTAAACACCTCTGCATAGTAGCTGCATATAGGGATTGCTCTTGTGTGTCAGGGAGATTTCTCTTGCTCTTTATTCTGGCAAAAATATCCTTGACCAGAGTCTTATAAATTCTACTTGATTCAGAGTTTGGAAGAGAGTGTGAAAGACACTGGGAATTACACATTTCTGGGGAACGTGAAATGTCACTTACATCTTTGTTAGTTGCTAGCATCCAAATTTAACTTCTATTGTCTGCCCTTAGGTGAAGCTTCATGATTAGAACTATAGACTTCCAATTATGATATTGAAGAACGCAACTCAGAAATTTTAAGAAATTGTCTTTATTGTATTGCCCAGGTTCCTTTGAACCCAGTTTTTTACTACCATTTTAAGAATGTGGAATCAGCACAGTTCCGTGTGTAAAAGCAAAAAGTTTCATTTTTTATTTTTTTTTTTATTTAAAAAAAAACATTTTTTTTTTCAACGTTTATTTATTTTTGGGACAGAGAGAGACAGAGCATGAACGGGGGAGGGGCAGAGAGAGAGGGAGACACAGAATCGGAAACAGGCTCCAGGCTCTGAGCCATCAGCCCAGAGCCTGACGCGGGGCTCGAACTCACGGACCGCGAGATCGTGACCTGGCTGAAGTCGGACGCTTAACCGACTGGCCACCCAGGCGCCCCAAAAAAAGTTTCATTTTTATAAGCGAGGGTGTCTCTTAGTCTCAGCACTTGTGCATGCCAGGTGCTTCTATGTCTCCTTCCTGCTCCCCTAACGTATATGTGCTTATAACACATATTTGTTAATGTCTCTCTTGATAAAAACAGATTCACTCAGCAGATTCCTTCAGGCAACTTTGAATGCTGGGGCGTGCCATGCTGGTTAGCTAAAATCATCTTGGCCCCTACATTTCTACTTGTGTAATTGGATAAATGAAGATCAAAGAACTTACAGAAAGGTCATGGTCTCATGAAAGACTGAGGAAGAAGCTAAGAAAGTACCTACCTCCATGTCACCCCTGCCAGGAGGCCCCTCCAGGCTGTACTGGCCCAGAATGCTCCATCAATCTCCCCTCTCTGAGTGGGAGACCCCATGCGCCTCAGGTTTGCTTATCGGCCGCCCTGTAGCTCCCTCTGCTGGTTGCTCCGCTGACAATGCAGTCTTGCTTCTCCCTCTTCTGTTAGGCTTGAGTCATGCCATGTAATTGTTTTTGAGAACAGTATAGCAGTTGTAAACACCTCCACTTTGAATATGTTATTGCAAAGCAAACTGAACTGTTTTGGAAACATGGAACATTCTTTCCTAGAACTAAGAGATGATTTTTTTTTTCAGCCATACACATAAACAATAATAATTTGGTAGTGAAATCAGCTCCCAGCAGTCCTGTGCAAACACACTACAGAGGAGAAATGTCTTAACAGCCCTAGCCCTGATGTGGGAAATCAGGGACTGTGTGCTTGAAACTCAAATTCTGGGAAGGGTCTGGGGAAGTGGGAGGGTGTGGAGGGCTGTGTGTAGGAAGCAGGGCATATGGTACTTGGTGGTAATAGCTTAGGATTTGGCAGATCCTGATGCCTCAAAAGGGGAGAAAGAAGATCCTGTAGTTATTTAACAGGAATTGATTATTTATTGAGTCCCCAACCCACCGAGGCCTAATGCTATGCTAGTCACTAGCGATGCAAAGATAAATAAGGCTGAGAGATAAACCTCAAGTCCTATGCAGTCTATTGGAGAAGACCAACTGGAACAGACATTTTCAGTATTGTGGTTAGAAGGACAGAGAGATATGCTTACTGACGGGGAAGAAATGACAGCAGAATCCTAACCCACCATGAGGGCTGATGACTGGGTAGAGAGAGGTTAGCAAGGACTGCCCAAAGAGGGAAATCCAGGCTGAAGTCTAGGGTAAGAGGTAGGTGAGACACAGCATGAGAAGTGCTTGGCGGGGCGGGGGGTGGGGGGCACACAGAAGGGCACAGGGGTAGGGAGATGGGGGAGGTGGGTGGCATGAGATCTACAGGGAGCACGAGGGGCTGAGAGTGGGGAGAGACTTACATTGATAGGCAGGCAGGCCGCTTGCACATCATTCTCCAGAAATTAGATTTCACTTAATAATTGTAATAAAAGGTGCCACTTATAGGGTGTCTACTGCAAAGTCCTGTTCTAAATGCTCTTGTGTAAACTGTTGCAAAGCCAAGAAAAGGAATCTTCCTGTTTTATGGGGGCACCTACAGGCACAGTGGGTGGAGCCTGGACTCCATTAAACCCCACTCTGGGTCTCCAGAAAGTCTAGCTCTGACCCCTGGGTCCATGGGGCCGAGAGAGGCATTACGATCTTTGAAACAGGGAAGTGATGGGTCAGCTTTGCATTTCAGAGAGAGTTCCAGAGCCTGGAGTGGAGGGCACAAAGGAAGTCACACTGCAGCAGTCCCAGGGAGAGGCGAGGCACACAGGGGCTGCGGAGTCTTGAGAGGGATGAATCATCACTTTGGCAGGCCATTCCCTATAGACTGGAGGCTTTTGCTCCCTTGCTGTTTCAGATTTTGTTTTCTGGAGGAGTGCGGGAAGGGAGGAGGGGGATGTGGGGCCCAGTGCCCAAGGCAATGCACTGACTTAGTGCTGGTACGCCTCCTGGCTGGCTGCTTCTTGAAGGGTTTTTTAATCTTCCTTAGTGAATGCATGTAGCCTGGCCCTGTTCTCAAGGTCAACACGAAATGGCTCTACCCTGGAAATGCCTTCTCCAGAAATGAGGCTTTACTTTATTCCCCATGTGCTTGCTGTCTGATCCATTCCTTCTTTTCTAAATATGAATGGACAGCTTAGTTTTTCAAGAGTGTGATCAAGGAGATGCACAGCCAGGAATATGTTTACAAAACATGTCTGCGTGATAGACACGCTCTCAGCTCATCCTCCCCAAAACGCTCCCCCCTCCCATCCTGATCCCACTGACAGCTTTAAGGAGGTTCCTTCTCCATCCATAGCAGCCTCCTGCACAAAAATTGGCCTTTTAACTCTTTAGACTCCTACCACTTCCAAAGGAATTAAGCTAGTTTATGTTTTTGTGCCCTGTGCCTTGTGTGGTCGCTTGAAGGCTTAACACACACCTCAGTGTAGAATACTGGCATTTAAAAGTTGTGACATTTTCAAGGGTGATACCGTTAATTTGGAATTTCTACCTAATTAATTTGAAAAGCACCCACTGCTTGGAAGCCTTGGCTTGTTCACCTCTCCTTTAGACAGAGGCTGCGTCCAAGGGCAGCATGGTTTAGCAGGAGAACTAAGGTTCAGCAGCACTGGCCTCACACTTCTTGCCCTCATAGTGCCCTGATTACGTCTGCTCCTAAAGGTCACCTCACTGTCTGGAGCCTGCTCTCACTCTGGCTTGGGAGTGGGTTGCCCCAGATCAGCAGTTCACATCGTTGTGATGTGCTTACATTTGGGGTCCCAAGACCCCTTCAGGGGCTCATGAGGGGAAAACGTTTTATGAAAACACACAGGGGTCTTTTTAACCATTGACATTTGCACTGGTGGTGCAGAGGCAGTGGTAGGTAAAACTGTTGCTTAGTGTAAATGAAGGCGGTGTTGCCCAATGGTACTAGTTGCGATTTCTGCAGCCAAGCTCTGCAGGAGAAGAAAAGAGTGGCAGTTTCACTTATGGATGTCCTTGAGGAAGCAGGAAAACATTTAAAAATGTTGGCTTTATTAAATATCAGTCTTTGAGTACACGTGTTTTCAAGACCAAGAAGGCAATGACGTGAAAACGCTTCTGCACACCAGCACATAGTGGAAAAGCCCTTGTGTGGCTGAATAGTGAGCAGAACTAGCCACTTGTATCATGCGACGCCATGTTTACTTGAAACAAATGACTGATAGACATACTTTATTCAGTCACTGGATATTTGGTAGATATTTTCTCAAAGAGGAATTGAGTGAGCCTGTCCCTTTTAGGAAAATAGCGGACAGTATTTTTTTTGCCAGTAATAAAATTCAAGCTTTCAACCAGGAACTTGTAACTGAACCCAAGTTCGTCTGCCCTGTGTGCAACAGCAAAGCCAATCACCGAGACATCAGGTATGCATCAAGGAAAGGGTTCATTTATGCAGCCAAACCTGAAGAAGGGAGGATAAGCCTCAAATCTGCTTCCTCCAAGGGGGAGGGAATGAGTTTTTTACAATCATAGGGGTTGAGAATGCATACATATTGATGCAAAGCGCAAGGAAACTTAACAACTACTCATAAGGAAAGATAGCATGTTCATTGAGCAAACATTTATTGTAACATATACCCCATGTTCCCTTGAGGTGGAGACTTAACTCTGGAAGGAGGCAGAATTCAGCCCCTGATGTCAGGAGGTTATCTTCAGATGAGGAGAGGGGTTATGGGCTTGCTCTGAGAGCCAGTATAAACTGGAGGGGGTCTTGGGCTTGTAATCTCGAGTAAGGAATGCCAGGCCTTGCTTGTTCCTAGGCTGGAACCATATCAGTTGACCTTGAGTCCAGGCTTCTGCAGAAATAGCTAAGTGAGTCTGTTAGTGGGGTCTGAAAAGACACAGCAGCTGATTAGGGGGGAACAGTTCTCAGAAAAACAAGCGTTAAACTTTCTGCTAGTTTCAACCTCATTAACCCCATGAGGCACTCTTTCAAACTTAGAAGTGTCCCAGCCTTAAAAACTGATGAGATGCATGGTAATATTAACTGCTGTGACTTGGGGGGGATACCTTATAATGAAGTGCATCAATATTTGGAAGATCTGCATAACTTATTAAATTGGTAGTTCCAAATGACCGTTGCACAATGCTGCAAAATCATGTGTGGGTGAATCATCCATTTTAAGAGCAAGAATAACTATTTGAATGGATTTTAATGTAACAGAGCATGGCAAGTTCATTGATACGGTTTCACATTCCACATTAGGAAAGCTTTTTTAAGAAACTAGCACTTGTCAAGTTTTGATGAAGTATCAAAGAAGAATATTCTCAGTAATGTGGAAAGACTTTAAGTACTCCTTACATTTTCAAAGATATATTGGAGGGTTCATATACTTCAACTAAAGCAATATGTTGCAACAGAATGCAGAAGCAGTTAAGAGAAACCAACTGTCTTCTGAAAAGCCAGGCGTTAAAGAGATTTGCAGACATTTAAACCAGTGCAAGTCCTCTATTTTTTGAAAATATGGTTATTTTTCATAAAAATATTTTAAAATATATTAGTAAGTAAGGGTGCCTGGGTGGCTTGGTCCGTTAAGCATCTGACTCTGGATCTCAGCTCAGGTGTTGGTCTCAGGGTGGTCAGTTCAAGGCCCACCTTGGGCTCCATGCTGGGCATGAAAACTACTTTAAGAAAATAATAATCAGTTAATTAATGAACATCTTTTTCTTTTTTTTTAATTTTTTTTAACGTTTATTTATTTTTGAGACAGAGAGAGACAGAGCATGAACGGGGGAGGGTCAGAGAGAGAGGGAGACACAGAATCTGAAACAGGCTCCAGGCTCTGAGCAGTCAGCACAGAGCCCGACGCGGGGCTCCAACTCACGGACCGCGAGATCGTGACCTAAGCCGAAGTTGGATGCTTAACCGACTGAGCCACCCAGGCACCCCAAAACATCTTTAAGTTTTCTATTTTGCTTCCAAAGTAGGCATATATTGACAGATATAATCCAAATAAACAAAAGAACTTTGGGTTGTCAATAATTTTCAAGAGTGTAAGAGGGTTCTAAGACCAAAACGTGAGAACCACTGCTTTGGATAATCAAATTTTTCTGACTCCAATAGCATTTGAATTTGTATGAGAAAATACTATCCGATAAAAATAAATAACCAAACAGCTCATTACAAAAAAAAAAAAAAATGTATGAACAAGTGCTTATATTGTAAAGAAAATAGAAAGTGTTCAGGTTGTTAGGCATCATTTATTCAAAGCATGGATCACCTAGAATGTAAACATTGGCAAACCTCTTTATTTATTTCTTTAAGAACCAAGTAGTAAATATTTTAGTTTTTGTGAGCCATGGGGGTCACTGTCACAACTCACCTCTGCCATTACAGACAATAGATAAACAAATGACTATGTCTGTGTTGTGGTCCAGCTTTATTTACTAAAACAGGTGGTCACAGCTTGCTCCCCCCCTGCACCATTTCCCCTAAAAGAACACTGTAGAATTTTTTTAATGCTTATTTGTTTATTTTTGAGAGAGAAAGAGAGAACGAGCTGGGGAGAGGCAGAGAAAGAGGGGAACAGAGGATCTGAAGTGGGCTCTGTGATAACAGCAGAGAGCCTGGCATGTGGCTCGAACTCACAAACCTCGAGATCATGAGCTGAGTTGAAGTCAGATGCTTAACCCCCTGAGCCACCCAAGGCTCCCCTTTAGAATTTTTTCAATTACGTAGTCAAGTACCCGTTATTCCTTCTTTGTGTTCTGTTTAATTTTGGTGCTCAAAACTGGAATACAAATTCTTCTGAGTTCAGGGCCCGTCAAGAAAGGCACCTAAGATAACTGTGTTTTGTTTGTTTTTCTTTTTAATGTTTGTTTATTTTTGAGAGAGAGACAGAGTGTGAGCAGGGGAGGGACAGAGAGAGAGGGAGACACAGAATCTGAAGCAGGCTCCAGGCTCTGAGCTGTCAGCACAGAGCCGGACACAGGGCTCAAATCCACAGGGTTCAAATCCATGTGAGATCATGACCTGAGCTGAAGTCAGATGCTTAACTGACTGAGACACCCAGGCGCCCCCTAAGGTAACGTTGTTTCAATGGTGGCATGTGTGCCCAGTCTCTGATACTTAGGGAGTAGGAAAGTCTCTCCTAGGAAGACTGCTCAGGAGGGAGCAGCACACTCAAGGAGGTGGCCTGCTTTAAGGACTTGTGTGGGGTATGGTCACGGTAAACATAGGGCACGTCTACAGGCTCTTTGGTGAATCAGAAATACATAACCTTACCTCTCTCTCACGCAGACAGAGGCATTGTCGTTGCTCCAAGGTAAGCTTGAAATGTGCATAGAATTTTTGAAGCTAAAGATAGCCTGTAGCGATTCCCTTATTGCTGATTAACTCTGGTTTCTGGGCAACACAGTAGTTGGCTTGGGAGATTTCAAGACATATGCATGCACCTAGACTGCTTTGTGGAAAGGGAACGTGTCCCCATTCCCATCTAGCCTACCTCTAGCTCTTCGTGTCCTCGTCAGCCTCCAGGATGTAGGAGGTGTGTTTTCACCCGGGACCCCTGAGAACTTGAGGAAGTCTGTCAAGTTGAATGAAGAGAGACACAGATTTATGTTGTAGTTGAGGCTCGGTGAACCAAGGTGTGACCTTAAAGAGTGTAAAGAGCCTCGGCAGCCAGTACCACTGGTGGTGTCTCCCGTCCTCCAGTCCTGTGGCAGTTGGTCATACCGTTGCTGGAAATGCAGAATGCTCTCGATTGCTCTCACATGGGCCTTCTGGGAATCAGCAGCAATTTGTAAAGCACAGAAATCAGCTGGTTTTCTTTCTTTCTTTCTTTTTCAACTTTTAAATTTCAATTCCAGTATAGTTAACGTACAGTGTTCTATAGGGCTGGTGTTCTTTTTAAGCACAAACCAGTACCCCAAGGTATAAAAGTTGCACTGGAGGCTGTGGCTCTCACTGTGTGGGAGATGTCCTTGTCCTGGCACAAGTGGCCTCTTTAGCGACACCATGAGCAGCCTTCATGCTCTAAAGCAATAAGAGGCCACAAACAAGCAGCCTCTGTCTGCAGCCTTTGTCTGCTCCCATAGATTCCATCTTGGAAATACCCTGGAATCTCTGAGAATGCCCACATAAAGCATGCCCCTTTAAAGAATATGAACACATAACAAGTACCTACATATATCTGAGATGACATTGGACCACATGTAATGGATTCATATGTTCCCATGTTGATTTGTCCCCTAACGAAGACCTCATTCGAAATAAACACTACAGACACTGAAAATGACATGTATGGGTATCTTAACTATATTGGTTGTTTCCAGTTAGCTTCAGGTATTAAAAATTTTGCTTTAAAACTTTTTCTAAATTATGTTGATTCTACAGCAAAAAATTAAGTAACTTTGTCACTCATGTGTTCTTAGATTCTCATGATGCAGTTTTGAGATTTAACTCGGCACCTACACGTGGCTATGAGAAAGATGTTGGAAATAAAACCACCGTGCGCATCATTAATTCCCAGGTAAGATGGATGGGGTGTTTTCATGCATGTACATTTTATAGGTAAATAGTTTAACTGGGTGAATGAAGAGAAATTACCCAGTTGTACATGACCATGGTCTTGCTTATTTGTAGGTTCTTGTAATCATAAAAGAATTGATGAGAAAAAATGCAGATAAATAGGCATTTATGTGTGACATGACTAGGAAGAAATGAGTAAATAAGATTAAAAGGAAAAATCAGAGAAGATATAGAAACATGTATGGATATCCATATATGCATATGTATGTGTATATATATAATCATAGTGTGTTGTATATTACAGATGGAGCAAAGGACAGTTAAATTTAGAAAAAAATCATGGTGGTGTAAAAGGCAAGGGATGAAGGGGAGAAAAAGCAAAGGCTACAAGATCCAAGGGTCAGTAGGGTGGCTTGGAAACTTTAGTCCATTATCTGAAAATTTTAAAAATGAAATTGTTGAAAATGGAAGTATTTCTCTTTTTGGTGTTCTTCATACAAATGTTTTCCAAATTCAAAGCAAAATTATTCTCAAAACCATGGCAGTTTCTAGAGTTTCAAACTATATAGAAAGAACATGAGGTGATGGATGATTTATGACAAGTTGCTTGGAGAAGAAAAGATTAGCTTTCTGCCTGGGACCCTGAGCCAGGCAGCCTGCAGCAAGGGAAGAAACAATCGCCATGTTTCCTTGCTTCATAGACAGCATGGATTGTAAGAGTCGCCATTCATTTATTAACACTTCCAGCTTTTTAGCTAATCATCCCCACAAATTAAAATACATGCCACCTGTAAAATATGTCCTGACTTGAGAAATCTGTATGAAGAAAGAGAGTGCATCTTAAAAACTGTGAAAAGTTGCACCTCAACACTGAGGAAAACCAAATTTTTTTTTCTCCTCCAAAGCTGTAGTTTAAAAAAGATGATTGGCAGGTGAGATCGAAGGACTCCTCTAGGACCACAAAGGGAGGAAGTCGCATGTGGGCTGTCACCAGTCTGCTGGCTGTCCCTGTTCCATTTGTCCTGAGGCTGGCACTCTGAAGGCACCTTAATAACGTGGGTCATTCATATCTGTGCCTCCTTCTCCAGTTGTCTGTGAAGGCAATTAGAGAGGAGGTTGGGGGTGCCAAATTAGCTAAGGCATCGCATCTTTCAGGAGCTGATTCGATACCACCGGCTATGGGTATAATGCTGATGAAAATGTAAGAACTCGTGAATTTTATTTTATTTTGTTTTTTAAATTTTTTTAATGTTTATTTATATTTGAGAGAGAGAGAGAGAGAGAGAGAGAACAAGAATGGGGGAGGGGCAGAGAGACAGAGGGAGACACAGAATCCCAGGGAGACTCCAGGCTTTGGGCTGTGAACACAGAGCCTGACTGGGGACTGGAACTCATGAACCATGAGATCATGCCCTGAGCTGAGGTCAAGACGGGTAACTGACAGAGCCACCCATGCACCCCTCCTAAATTTTATTTTTAACCCTAGTTTCCCCAGACATTTCTTCAGGTTCATTAGCGTGCAATGCCTGCCTCTCTCACTCCCCCAGAGGAAAATAGTAAAGTCTGAGTAATTTTGTTTTTCTTGCTCTGATTCATTTTTTTAAACTTTCCTCTTTTTAAAAATATAATTTTGAAGAGCCACTCGCTTTGAAATGATTTCTGTGTGTATTTGCAGATTCTGACCAACCCCAATCATCACTTCATTGACAGTTCATTGTATAAAAACGTCATTTTGGTGGCCTGGGACCCTGCTCCTTACTCTGCAAATCTTAACCTGGTAAGTGTTCCCTTTGGTGCCCTTACCCTACTGATCAGACAGTGCCTTTGACTGATTAATAATGGGAGCAAGTCAAGGATTAAGCTTTCACAGAATGAAACCAATCATGGGCACTACTGAAATACATGGGCGTTCATACCATTTTGATACCCAGTTCCGGTAGCGTACTTGGTGAACGTGACCTACCTAATGAAAAAAGGGCTTTTGCTCTGGAAGATTTAAAAACAAAAACAAATCACAGTGCCCTAAATGTTCAGAAATTCCTAGTTACACTGGAAGTTGAGCCAAGTAAACTCAGAGTTTTCCATTGTGATAGGGTTACATCACCTTCCACGTAGTTACGAGACCTTCTGAAATAAATTCAAAGTGCTTGATAAGAGAATCTAAACTTTGTGAATCAACAGCTCACTGCCCTTTAAGTGGAACCTGTTACAGACTTTTCTTGAGTGTGCAACTCTGGCTTTTTCCTCTAAACCTTTCTTACCTTATGTGATACAGTGTAAACAAGATTACTGCTAGCCATCAAAATACAAGCAAGTTACATTCATGGCATTCTGGCAAATCATTGCCTATCTAAACAAGCAGCTAGTTACTTCTGGTGAGAACTTGGATGAAAAGCCGATGCACTTGTCTTTTAAGGAGGGCTGGGAAAGAAGTGTGATAGTTTTAGCCTCATGAAAGATAATGTCTGCTGTGCCACTGAGCGTCTTTCAACTTGTTCTGTCATGACCCAAGAGAATGCATCCTTCTTAAGATGATGGAAATGAGGGAACAGGCCTTGGCTTTACCAAGAGGACTTCCCAAGAGAGCAGCGGCCCAAGGTCAGATGGGTCCTTCTGGGGCTGTTGTGTCACTGTTCATCTTGAGACCAAGGCTGGAAATTTAACTAGCATGATTCCTAACTGGTTCTTTTTTTAAAAAATTTTAAAAATTGCACTTAAATCCAAGTTAGTTAACATATAGTGTAGTAATGATTTCAGGAGTAGAAGACCCAACAAGTGCCCTCCTTAATGCCCCTCACCCACTTAGCCCCTCCCCCCACCATCACCCCTCTGGCAACCCTCAGTTTGCTCTCTGCATTTGAGTCTTTTATGGTTTGCCTCCCTCTCTCTTTTAATCCTAACTGGTTCTTAACCAGGAGCGCAAACCAGAATCACCTGGAGAGTATTTTTTCAAATGTATCTGTCAGAGCCCCATTTCCTGACATATCACTTACAGCCCCAGTGTGTAGTTTCTGAGAAAGCTCTCTGGCTGATTTTCACAGGTACCGTCTACCGAGAATCCGGCACGAAATGCATGTTGGAACTCTTCAGCTTCCTTTCCGGTCTGAAGTTCTCTGGTTTTAAGTTCTGACAGCTTTCTCACTATCTGTGGAGAGACTGAGAGCTCTAGCTATTGGACCTTGTTTCTTCCTCCTTGGGAAGCATCCAAGCCCAGGGCACAGAGCTGTCCAACCCGATGGAGGGGACAGCAACAGTGCTGAAACCCAGGCAACCGGGCTGCTTTCTGGGTGGCCTGCGCTCTGGGGAGCAGGAGGAGGGGTGAAGAAACTGAGGCCCACACTCCTCTTGCTTCCCTTCTGCTGCCTCTTGGCTTGGGGGCAAAGTTTACACGAGATGATTGGCCCCGGTCCTTCTCAAAATTGTTAAAGCCACAGAACCCATTCAACCATGGAATATTACTTGGGATCTCAGTGCGTATCTACTGTTTCCCGAAGGTGTCTGTTTGAAGGGATAACAGGGCCCTCAGAGCCTTATGAACTAAGTCTCTCCCCCACATACCTCCAAATCCCATTTTTTCATGGTGGCACCTCAGATGTTCTGAAGACATTTAAAAGTAAACCTAGGGGCGCCTGGGTGGCTCAGTCGGTTGGGCGACTAACTTCACTCAGGTCATGATCTCACAGATTGTGAGTTCGAGTCCCATGTCTGGCTCTGTGCTGATAGCTCAGAGCCTGGAGCCTGCTTCGGATTCTGTGTCTCCCTCTCTCTCTGCCCCTCTCCTGCTCACGTTCTGTCTCTCTCCTTCAAAAATAAACATCAAAAAAAATTTTTAAGTAAGTCAACCTTATTGTACATTTTTTCATACAGTAACATGTACAGTCAGTGGAAGGATACATGTTGATGAGTATTAGCAAATTTATATAGTCATGTATCCACCACCACAGTTAAGAAATGGAATATTTTCAGCACTCCCAAGAGTTCCTTGTGCCCCACCTATCAGTCTGCCCAGCGCTGCCCCAGACCTAGGCAATAACTGATATGCTTTCTGTCACTGTGTATTACATATGAAAAATATGTTTTGAAATACACTGATTGAAGCCCCAGGGTCAGCACACTGTAGCCGTGGACCAAATCTGGCCCCATTTCGTAAATAAAGTTTTATTGGAACACAGCCATGCTCATTCATGATGTATCTTCTGTGACTTTCTCAGTACAATAGAAGCATCGACTAGTTGCAGCAGAGACTGTCTGGCCCACAAAGCCTCAAGGGTTTGCTACCTGGCCCTTTACAGAAAAGTCTGGGGCCCCTGCCCTAGCTCATCTCCCATATTTCACTAAAGAACAAATCCTTGTCCCTCAGGGCTGGGACCCTATCTCTTTTTGTTCTGGTTCCCTCATCCATGAGGCAGTGCCTGTACTTCACCTCCTTCTCCCGGGCCCTTAGCCTCTAAATAGTCTCCAACCCCACCCCGGTGCTGCCCTGTTTCCTTTTCACAGTGTGGTTCTCTGTACTTGATTGCGTTGATTTTGTTTGTTTGTTTGTTTCTTAGTGGTACAAGAAGCCAGATTACAACCTGTTCACTCCATATGTTCAGCACCGGCAGAGAAACCCAAATCAGCCATTTTACATTCTTCATCCTAAATTTATATGGCAGCTTTGGGACATTATCCAGGAGAACACCAAGGAGAAGATTCAGCCCAACCCACCATCTTCTGGCTTCATTGGTAGGTATATATAAAAATGGATGATCAGGCAGGCACTCAGGGTTAGGGTTAGGCTTAGTATTTAGCAAATGTACAGTTATGTTATTTAATCAGAACAATTAAAAGGTGGTTTTAGAGGAAGCATAGATAAGCTGAAGATAGTTAGAAACACTCTGTTTTTTCCAGTTTTCTATTGGTACGTGATAACTGCCCCCAGAATTGCAAGATGTACAGCAAAAACTGTTTTATTTTCTGTCGGTTTTGTGGGTCAGGACAGGCTTGGCTGGGTTCTTCTTCTGTTCCACAGGCTTCAGTGGGAATCACTTCATGGTATTCACCTGCTTCATGGGATGGCTACACTCCTGTGGTTGGCCCCTTTGGCGGGGATGGCTGGGAGGGCTGGCTCAGCCAGGACTATTGACTTTGTGCCTGCACGTGGTCTCTTGCATGGTGGTCTCAGGGTACTCGGGCTTCTTACATGGGAGCTCATGGCCCCTGGCAAGTGTGCCAAAAGGCAGGAAATAGAAGCTGCCTGTTTCTTAAGGTTGAGGCCTAGAGACCTGCACAATGTCATTTGCACTCTTCTGCGGGTCAGAGTAGTCAAGGCCCCACTGGATTCAAGGGGGAAGACACACAGACCCCACCTGGGTCATCTGTGATCCACTAGCCACTCACCCATTCACATTGTTTACGTGATACCAGATTGAGGAGCTGAATTTGTGACCGTAGGAGAGTGTCATGTGCTGCAAGATAGCAAGTGCAGGCTTTGATGAGACTAATTCTAAGACAGAATTAGTCTGGCTCTTGCTGCCAGAGTCCACTAGCTCTAATCTAAAAAATGGATTTTTTGGGGCGCCTGGGTGGCGCAGTCGGTTAAGCGTC